CTTAGTTTGAACTTGGCTCGTTTGTAAAATTTTCAGCTCGAACTTGGTTCGAACTCGATTTTTGATAATCTAGCTCAAGCTCGGCTCGATTAAAAATAATCAAGTTCGAGCTCGACTCGGTAGAGCTCGGTAAATGCTCATTAACACAACTTGTCAAGCTGAGCACTAGCTCGGCTCAAGATGAGCTCGATTTGAAATCATTCTTGCTGGAAATGTGTACAAAATAAGAATTTAAATGATAAAAAGAACACTAGAAACTAAAAATAACAGCTAACTTCCATATACATCCGTATTAACAAGATAATGTCAATGTTCAGAAGAGTAATTAATCCCTTCACAAGTTTTAAACAAATCAGTTCTCCAGCTTAGCTCAACAAGCCATCTAGTCAAACTAGCTCACGAGCTTATCAAGCTGAGCATGGTCTAGCTCAAGCTTGGCTCGTTTACGCGAGCCAACTTGTTAAATAACGAGCCGAATGTCAAACGAATTTTTCCGATTCGAATGCGAAGTTGCTCGCGAGCGACGTGGCTCATTTGCAGCTCTACCAGTGGTCCTACGAGTGACAAAAGTTCACCCATTTGGAGAGTGTGATTGGGTGCATCACATTGTTTAGGGTGCAGTCAGCAGGGTGGAGAAAACTTATGTCAAATAAATAAACGGGCTTGCCTGAATGGACTAATTTGTGGGCTTAAAGTGCATTAGCATATTGGGCCTGACTTTGGATCCGATATCCAGAAACATTGTCACCTTTTTTTGCCCGTCAAAGCTCTGTACAAATTGCTCTTTACAGCCGTGTTTTTGTCAGAGAGCAACCCACGTTGGAGTGCTTTTTGGACACTCCCCCCATTTTCGCCAATGCCACTCCTTTGCAAAACGTCGTCGTTGGAAGATGATCTACGGCCAAAAACGAGAGCGCTCCACCAAAAAGTGGAAAAGCAAAGAGGGCTGCGATATCAGTATATCACACTGCTCTGCGGCAGGAGGATGACTGCCTTTTCTTCTTCATCGCACATCTCTCTCCCCTATCGCTTGCTCTAGGGATTGCAGAGTAGAACCTGCGGACTCAGCCCGATCCGAGCGAACTCGTTCCGCCATGGATTGATCCTCTCAGCTGTCGAGTTTCCCCCCAGTTTGCGTTGACTTCTCTTTCTGCAGCGTTTCTTAGCTCGAGCTGGCGAGGTGAGTTGCTTTGCTAACCTGAACTCATTTCTTCCGAGTTTTCTCTAGCTCTATTTCTCCAGATCGGGCTGTTATATTCCTCGGTAATTTGCGCCATTTTTGCTGGAATTTCCCGCTAATTCGCTACTGTTGGTTGGAGGTGATTTTTTTTTTATAGTAAAATGGTTGGTTTTCGCCTTTTCGGGAGGATGTCCCTGCAGTGTTGAGTTGCAGCTTCTGTGAGATTGTCTTTTTTCCGTTTGTTGTTTCCGCTTCATTTCGGTGATTCTTACGAAGTGGCTTAGTATAACTCTTAGCGGGTATCTTTCACTTGTTTTGCTTCATTGCTTGGCAGTGTCCCCGATCTGTGCGTTATTCATGCTTTGTTGTAACCAATCTAGGGGATGAGAATTAGATATGAACACTTGCACTGTGAATTAATTTGGTGGGTTCACTTACCTTTGGCTTGTTTGTTTTATCCTCTTCATGATCTCTAGGTTCTCAGCTAATGGAAGATACTCAACCAGTTGGAACACTCATGGATTCTACCTCTTGCAAGATACAGCAGCTCCAAAAGGCATTTGCTGAGCTGGAAAGCCATCGAGCTGTGACTCTCAACATGAAGTGGAAAGAGCTCGAGGAGCATTTTCATGGGCTTGAGAGATCCTTGAAAAGGCGATTTCATGAGTTGGAAGATCAAGAAAAGGAATACGAGACCAAGACAAGACAAGCACAGGAAGCTCTGGAGAAGCGGGAAGCTGCTGTTAAAGCCAAGGAACAGGCTTCATTGGGGAGGCTCCAGGAGAAGAGAGATGCTGCTATGTTCGCTATCACTAGTTCTTTAGATAAGCACCGGAAAGTATCTCCTGGGGAACCTGTTATTGAAGCCAGTGAAGACCTGTGTGAATCCCCTCTTGATGACCAGCCATCTGATACAATGCCTTCTGAGAGTAACTTGGGTGAAATTGTCAACCCGGGTGAGGACGAAGATTGTGAGGCAGTGTCTTATCCTCAGCTATTCAAACTATGTGAAGAGATGGATGCTGATGGGCTGCATAAGTTTATATCTGACAACCGTAAGAACCTTGCTATTCTGAGGGAGGAGATTCCACTTGCTTTGAAAGCTGCAGTTGAACCTGCTCAGTTGGTTTTGAACTCTCTGGAAAACTTTTATCCCTCGGAAGACCTTCCTGTTGATGGGAAAAAAGATTCAATATTACTGGGTATTCGTCGAACTTGTATTATGTTGATGGAATGCCTCAGCATTTTGCTCATGTATTCTGATCTAGTTTCTGTATCCGAGGTAATCTCGGATGAGGTCAAAGATCGAGCAAAGGCGATTGCTGAGAGTTGGAAACCTAAGTTGGAGGCTCTGGATTTGGATGCAAGCAATGGGAACTCCTTGGAGGCACATGCATTTCTGCAACTTCTGGCAACCTTTGGCATTGCTTCTGATTTTGATGTGGAAGAGCTCTCTAGGCTTGTTCCAATGGTCTCTCGTCGTCGGCAAGCAGCTGAGCTCTGTCGATTTCTTGGACTGTCTGACAAAATGCCAGGTTCTCTCTTCTGCATTCACACTGAAAGATGTGTTGGATATTTATTAGAGTTTAGCATGTGGAATTCATCCTAGTGTTACCCTTGTTCCTTGGTCCCGGGCTTGTAATATAATCAGTCCTGGTGTATATGTATGACATAAATAGCCTTTGCCACTCATCCTAGATAGACTTTCTGAAAAAATTGCAGTTCTTGACTATATATCAGTATGGAGTTGGTTGTGACTTGTTTTCAGATTCAGGTAGTGAGCTCTCTCTAGTTTTAATTTACTGATCTCTTTTGACACTTCAGGTGTGATCGAAGTTCTGGTAAACAGTGGGAGACAAATTGATTCAGTGAACTTGGCATTTGCTTTCGAGTTAACCGATCAGTTCTCACCTGTTCCTCTACTGAAGTCTTACTTGAAGGACGCAAAAAGGTCTTCTCCACCAGCTAAACCTGGGAATGCAGCTAGCCCTGTGCAGGTTCATACTCTCTTTCTCCCTTTAACTTGATAAAAGCGATCGCTCTACTTCTTTGATATTAGACCTACCTTAGAGGTGGCAAATGGGCTGGGTTCTCTGCGGTTTTGATTTGCAACAGAAGTAATAATAGATAGCTAAACCATTTGCTTTCGGCTACCTATGACCTGTGTTTTGATTCCAGAATGAGGTGAACGACCGGGAGCTCGCTGCCCTCAAGGCTGTTATCAAGTGCATCGAAGAGCACAAGCTCAAGGAGCAGTATCCCCTGGAGCCACTTCAGAAGCGCCTCCTTCAGTTGGAGAAGGCAAAAGCAGAGAAGAAACGGGGAACAGAAGTTCCAAAGCCGCAATCCAAGAGGCCACGTGCTAATGGTGTTGGTTGTGGTGGTGCTCCCCAAGTCACCACTGCCAGTAACGTCGTCTCCGACAGGCAGTTCTATCCCCCAAGAGTTCCTGAGCGATATCCGCAGTACACTTATGTCTACCAAGCACCTGCCGACAACCACCCTATGGCACCACAGCTGATCCCTTCTGCACCTTACAGCTTTAGTCCGTCTCATGGCAACTACTTCGGAAATGGGTATCAGTACCAGACCACATATCTTCACTAATTGGGTATAAAAAAAAAAAATGATGCCGGAAAAAAAAAGGTGACTCTGAAACCTCTTGTTTAACTGTTAGCCTTAACCCTTCAGCTATTTGTTGTTTTTTCTTGTTGTTGTAATATTGAGCTTAGAATCTGAATCAAGACCCATCGTGAAAAAAGAAGAAAAAAGATGGAAGAAGAAGAAGCAAAACTCTACTCATGTTAATGTTTTTAATCTACTGTACCAGTGATAACTTGATGATACTCTAATATATGCACTTTGTTTCCTGTGTATGTTAGTACCTACCTCTGTTCTGTTGCCTGGTTGGATAGTTTAGACCTTTTGTTTATCCTATTTAATTTAACAACTTGTTGAGGTTTTTTAGTCCGTCTCCTACTGGCTGAATCTGAAATGTTTGATGCAGGAAGTCGTAATGGTTTGTACTACTGATTGGGGTTGTTGTCTCGAGTCATTTGATGACGAAAAATGTATGAGTCATTCATTCTTCGCATACATACGGAAGTCTCAAATGACTACATTGTGTCATTTTCAAATGCTTTTCATTAATTTAGCTCAATTATTCTAATTATGTCCTTGGTCGTGGTGGAGTGCTCTTCAGTCTGGAGGTTTCAGATTTGAATCTCAAGGGACGAGATGATCCTTCTTTCCCCCTTCCACCACCCTTCTAGTAGCACCTTGTAACAGGTCTTTGCATTTGTTTTTGTCCTTGGCACTTTTTGATAAATTCACTTCTATTCTTGCCTTTTTATTACTTGTTATCCACATTATTGCTCGTCTACCCCCCTATTTCCTTTCTGCCCCTCCCCCCAACCAAGCGATTATGGTCATCTATCTCGTTGTCTCCATTTTCGCGTCACTCCATCTCTTCGTGTCATCCCAACTATTTACCTTCAAGAATTGAGACTTCTGGTATCTTGCCTTTGGATCAAGTTTTAATTTCTTAATCTTTCGCCGGATAACGGTGGAACTAAACAAAACTGATATTAGCGTTAAATTGAATTAGATCACTAGATGTTGTAAAAAAAAAAAAAAAAAATTAGATCACTAGATCAATACGTTACCAATATCGATTTGATAAATTGGACGAGGCTTCTAGTAATGGGTCTGATCAAATAAGCCCAATATTTAATTCCGTTGCCCAGCCCAATGGTGACGACTCTTGTACCGTATCCATATCCATCTGTACAATCCGCCTTTCCGCGTGGTTGTCGATCATGGAGTCCCTTTCCGTGATCCTCTCATCGTCGTCTCCACCTCTTCTCCAAAACCCACTCTAAACCCCTCAAATCCGCCATACTAGTACCAACCTCCAACTCCATTCATTTTCGATTCCCCTCCCACTCCAGAAAGTCGTATCTTTCCTCCACCGCGATTAACCTCTTCTCCCCTTCTCTCCCTTCCCTCGCCGCCGAGACTCCGGCCGACCACGAAACTGTAGGTACTCCCGTTCATTCCTTCCTCCGCCGAGCAGGAACTTTTGTCCGATGTGACCGGCGCGAAGCAGTCCATCCTTCGTGAAAAATATGCCAATCAATCCCTGATTTTCTCCTCATCCGCTTACCGCCCTTAATTGGGTCAGTCAGCCCGCATCGCCAACAAAAATCTGCAAACGACGTGCTACTTTGCCAGGGCAACGAATCTAATTACTTCGCCTGGGAGCCCCTCCACGGGAATGATAACTGAATTCCACTGCCACCTCTACAACATCGATGGATGGAGAGTTTCCTGTGTGGAATTGCTGCCCATTCAGATGGTAGCCATCCTTACGACCACAACATCATCTATTTTAGAGTCTGGAGGACTGTGTTTTCCTTGGATTTTTCCACCATGGCTCTTCAACAGGTGTTCCACTATCCTCCAAACTCTTTCCTTATAGGCTTCTCTGGAACTGCTCTGACTTGTAAACCGAAATGGCACCCGACTCCTGTCCTTGCTTTTGCCGATTGCATCATTATTCAAGTTTTAACTTACACACATTGAAAGGCTAGGCTTAAGGCCTTAAGCTAAGCTAACCTCTTTCTGTGTGATGTGTTGTGCTACTGCTATCTACATTCAATTACCATGTACTACCAGGTATCTAGTTCCATTGTTCTAATGGGGAGGGAATGTATACAGCATAAAGTAAAGAGAGAACTTGTGACTGTAGTCAATGTTGTAATTCTCTTTCATCTTTTGTTTTGCCCTACTACCACAAAGTAAAATGCAAAAGGATTATTACTGATGGTTACTGTGATTGCCCCTAGGCAGCCGTCGTGTTTAAATGTGTGAACATGTCGATGATTCATCTGTGTGTAATTATGTATCCTCCTTGCAAAAGGATTATAGTACTGATGCCATCCACTTCATTCACTATAGCTTCATATTGCAATACTGGTTTCTAACGCAGTTGCACAACTAATTTGTGAGTACTGAAATGAAATGGTAAACTGAACAAATATCATTTTTACTACTCTGACTGAGCCATCCAAATCTCGATAGGGTGTTGTATTGATCATAAAATGCGCCATTGTCGACATTGGTATTGGATATCAGTGGATTTGTGTTCATAATGCTCTCTTGGTAAAGTAACGCTAATATATAGCTCCATGCATGAAAAAAACTAGATAATTGAATGAAGGTTCTTAGATGTTGACTGCTTCTTGCGTTAAATTTGTCATAAGTACATGTATATGGTCTATCCACAAACGTTAAGGAATCAGAAAGAGGATAGTTTCTGTTCAGGCGGTCACCTTAGTTCCCAGTTTCTCGAGATTGAATAGTTCTGTCCTGCTAGTGCGATTAGGTACTACAGTGTTGTTGTTTTCCTCATAGGAGTTTGTATTGTTCTTCGTTCTCTACTACTAAATGATTGAATCACCATGGTATGGAACACTGTGTGCGATCGAATTCTCACCATCTGTTCAAGCTTTGGCCAAATAATGGAAGCTCAACGACCCTCCTTTCCCTTCCTGTTCATGGGTTAAATCCCTAAGTTTCCGTCTTTGCTACTAATCAAGTTAGTCTCCTCCCTTCTGAGAACCTTGTTTTACCCTGTTGACTAGCTCCTATAGATGCTGCTGCAAATACCACCAAGTCAAAACTGATTGTGTACACGTTCTTTCAGTGGTTACAAGGTTCAAATGAGCAGTGGTCTTAATAAGGTTGAGCCCTACTATTTTGATTTCCACATAATCTACAGCGCTTCATTCATTTTCCAGACTTTTAGGTACTATTACTCCGGGCATATTGCAGCAGTATGCTCAGCTCTTTGCAACCTTGACACAGTTTAGCCTGATGAGAATATTTTTCTGCACTCGATTAACTATGTTTTTTTCTTTGCTTCTGCTGATGGAAGAAGCTTGGGGTTGAACGAAATTGAGGGGGCGCTTCCTGCCAACTCTGCCAAGGTCTTGCTGGAGTCGAACTGCACTTTCATAAATCCAATCAAGAGGTAGCTTTCATTTCCTTGTGCAGAGGATCAAAGTGATTTGGATGGTGACAATTAGTTTCTTCCAAGTTCCAATGTAGGAGCAGCCGCACCTAAACAGACACGGGTGCAAATTATATCATTGCACGAGCAGCCGAGCACTGAGTGGTTGAAGTTGCTATTCCAGGCTGCTGAGAAAGGAGAGAGGCCTGCAGGGGAGTTATTAGCTATATCTAGTCTCGTGGTTATTAGCCATAGTCTCAACAAATAAATGTAACTTGGAGCAAAATGTTACGTTTCTGTTCGTTCACAATTATCCTTGGAACTGTCTTTACTGTTGTAATGCTACATATGAAAATTGGTCTCTTTAGACTTTAGTTCCAACTGCTGGACTCCGTGTTTCCCTCTATCTCCATGATCGAAGGTTCGAACAATCTATTTTTCCCGAAGCCAAAGCTCTCCACACCATTTATAAAAAAGGTTTGCATACAACGAAGCCAATGTCGTATCCAGTAATGTCAATTGTAAATTGTTCTCCAAGCAGGTGTAAATCTAGAAAGAGCAGTGGCAACTTTGGATTCAACTTGGAATTATCTTTCTTTCTAACTTTTCTCCCCTTTAATCTGAGCTAAGAAAAAAGAAAAACTCACATCTCTCTGACTCACCCCTAAGGCGGCGATCTTCTCACAACCGACAACATTTTACAGATCTGAAACCGAAACAGAGAGCAACTACTTATGTTCGGCTCAAAACGCGAACGCAATGACTGATCTTGTGAAGAATTGAAGACTGGAAAGTTGTAAAACAGCTCTGGTTAGAAAGGAGGAAGTAATGACACTGTGTAGGTCTCACTATTTGGTACGGGCTTTTAGGTTTTATCCGAAATCGGACCGTATAATTTGGACCGAAATCAGATCGAGATCGGATAGCAAACAATTCAATGCTATTTTTAGGCCTAGATTTGAGGTAAAAAACCGTTTGGGACCAGACCGAAAACCGGATAAGAGAGCCCAACACTCAAAATTTAACCCCCTAGACCTTTCAGGCCTTAGGCCACTCAAATCTCTCTTCAGACCACTCAAATTGCCACAAGCTGAATTTAAAATCAAGACCTAATTAAGACTGGACCGGATCAAGACCGGACTGTATCCAATCCAATCTTTGGTCCTTATATTCTCGAAAAGACCGGACCGAAACCGGATCAATTCGGACCAATTTAACCGGACCGGACCATATAGCCACCCCTAACGGCTAACACTGTGAATTCTGAAACACTGTTTTCCTGAACGACTCACCGGAAAGCTTGATCCTCGTTCGGGGATTCACTATTTCACTTCCCCTGATAACATCCGCCGCAGTTCCTCTTTTCATTGTTGCGTCTCCTTCCATCCAAAGACTATTCTTCCCTTCCCCTTCCCCTTCCCCTTCCCCAATCCTCTCTCAGCTGTCTGTTTGCTCCCCACCAAACTCGCGTTCATACCCTCCTCCGCCGAGCAGGCACTTCTGTCCGACAATCAATTGCCTTGCCGTCGCTGATTTTCTCCTCATCCGCTCACCGCCCTTAATTGGTCCAGCCCACATCGCCAACAGTAGAGTGAAAAATCTGCAAAGTCGTCGTCTTTTTGGCCTCCCTCTCTTCTATGGATCTGGTAATCTTATCCCTCGATACCTTCATCCCTCTTCTCATGATTTTGTATCATAGCTGAATGAACAAGTTGGCCGAACCGATATATCATTTGTGTGGTCGACCCGTTTTCAGAAAGGTGGATTGGATCCACTCATCGTATTTCCTATTCCAATTAGGACTGGGTTACCGGATCGAATTAGATTACTAATTTATAGGGATTGGGGGGATAGGATAGATGGGGTGTAGAATTGAATAAATTGGGTAGGATGGAAAGTGGCGGCAGGAGCAAGTGCATCATCGGCGGCGGCGTGGACACTCTGACTCCAACTGTGATGACGTCGACAATCCAGGATCTTCCAGACAGCATATTGATCAACATAATTAGTCGACTGCGAATGAAATCTGCAAAAAGATGCAGCGCGGTATGCAAGGCATGGTACAGGATTCTCAAGGACGAAGCAACATCGCGCTACATGGAAAGTTGCTACGATGGCAGCAGCAGCTTCGCTCTGTTGAGCATAGCGTTGGCCACGTCAAGCACCACTGTATCGGCTTATGTGGTTGCAGCAGAGTCTTCTTCTGAAGAAGATACGGTGGGATGTACACGATTCGTCCTTGAGGGAGCACCCACCGTGCTCGGTTGCTGCAATGATGTGCTACTTTGTCAGGGTTTGGAATCTGTTTACTTCGTCTGGGAGCCCCTCGGCGGGAATGATAACTGGGTTCCACTCCCACCTCTAAAATATCAAACTATTGATAGGTTCCTGTGTGGAATTGCGGCCCATTCAGATGGTAGCTTTACTGTGATTCATATTGCAGACTGCATCAGGCGGCGGCCAGCTCATTGTCTGTCAGTGCAGACGTTTAGTAATCACAAGCACAACTGGGTTTGGAAAGAAGAACTAATGTATTTGCCTGCAGGCCGAGTATTTAAGTGGGAGTCCACATATTATCCTCAAGGAGTTATGTACAAGGGATTCATGTTTTGGCTTGGGGAAACACACTTCCTCTTTGGAGTTGCTGATCCGTATCACGCTGCTGATGGTGAGGGTTCGTCTGCTTCTTGTGTGCCTCTACTTATTGATCTGCCTCCAAAATTTGTGTACAAGAACAATGAACGCTTGGAAATATGCAGAGGAAACTTGACCATTCTCCAAATGTCAGCGTGGCCAACGCCATGCGGCACTGTTAGCGTTTGGATTCTACTTGATGATGATGACCACTATCGATGGTTATTGCATAAGCACGTTTCTCTCCACAACGTCTTTCAACAACCACCTCTGGATGAGTGTGTTTTGCCTTTGCATCAGCAGCGAGTGGAACTTCTTGGCAGTAATCCTTCTGACCACAGCATCATCTATTTCAGAGTCGGGATGACTGTGTTTTCTTTGGATTTTTCCACCATGGCTCTCCAACATGTGTTCCACTATCCTCCAGACACCTGGCTCCGAGGCCGCTCCGTAACTGCTTTGACGTATAAACTCAAATGGCGACCCGCGCCTGTCCTTGCTTTTGCCGTTGCATCTTTGTTTAAGTTTTAATTTACACACATTGCAAAGCTAGCTCTTTCTGTGTGATGTGTTGTGCTATCTATATTTGATTACCATGTACTATCAGGCATCTATTCCGCCTCTGCTCTGCGCTGCTTGGAATGGATCCAGTTCAATTTGCGCATTTAGTTTAGTTCTTAGTTCCATTGTTTCAATGGGGAGGAATGTATACAGCATAAAGTAAAGAGAGCTTGGCACTGTAGTCAATATTGTAATTCTCTTTCATCTTTTGTTTTCCCCACTACTACTACAAGTAAATCGCAAAAGGTTATAGTTATGGTTAGTGTGATTGCCATACTACTCCGCCGTCATGTTTAAATATGTGAACTTGTTCATCTGTGTACCTCCTACTTACAAAAGGATTACACCGATGCTATCCACTGCATTCACTATTGCTTCACACTGCAGTACTGGCTTCTAGCGCAGTAGCACTAGTGATTTGTGGGTGCTGAAATGAAAAGCTACACTGAACAAATATTGTTGTTACTACTCTGATAGAGTCTTCCTGCAGGGAGCGGATATGGTGACACCGCCATATTTGTTGTTATTGTAACAACACTATTCTCCAACCAATAGGAAACTAGGATTGTGATGACTTTTTATTAGTTTAGTTGACCTAGTGTAAAATCAAAACAGGGGTATAATTGTCATTATGAAAAAAAAATAAAAAAATAAAAAAAAATAAAAAATATTTTTTATTTTCTGCCCAAAAATTTGGTCGCCGGAATTCTGTCACCGGAATATGCTTTTTGTCGCCGGAATATGCTATTTGTGGCCGGAATATGCAGATCGGCGTCGGAATATGCTTACCGGCATCGGAATATGCTTATCGGCGCCGGAATATGTTTACCGGCGTCGGAATATGCTTACCGGGGCCGGAATATGCATATCGGCGTCGGAATCTGCTCACTAACGGTCACCGGAGTTCGGTCAACGAACTTTGTTGACCGGTCAACGGACTTCGTTGACCGGTCAACGACCACCGGATGTTATGGTCTGCATTGTGAGATTTATGGTTTGGTTTCTCATATTTTTGTATGCCTTTTGTGGTTTGTTTTATCGTGTTTGTGGTTTGCATTAAGAAGTTTCTCGTGTGCTTTCAAATTTTTATGGTTTGCATTGTGAGGTTTCTGGTTTGTTTTAATATATTTGTGGTTTGCATTAGAAGGTTTCTGGTTTGATTTTGTGGTTTGTTTTACAGTGCTTGTGGTTTGCATTATGAGGTTTCTGGTGTGCTTTCGCAAATGTTGTGGTTTGCTTTGTGAGGTTTGTGGTTTGTTTAAGGAGATTTGTGGTATGCATTAGGAGGTTTCTGGTTTGCTTTATTGTGTTTCTGGTGTGCTTTCGAAACTTTTGTGGTTTGCTTTGCGAGGTTTCTGGTTTGTTTTAATATATTTGTGGTATGCATTAGGAAGTTTTTGGTTTGCTTTGTGTGTTTTGCTTTACCGTGTTTGTGGTTTGCATTAGGAGGTTTCTAGTGTGCTTTTCAAAATATTTATGGTTTGCTTTGTGAGGTTTCTGATATGTTTTAGCGAATTTGTGGTTTGCATTAGGAGGTTTACGATATGTTTTTTGTGGGTTGTTTTATTGTGTTTATGGTTTACTAAATCGGTACAATGATATAAACTGGTTTCACAACGTGTTTTTTTTTTTGACAAAAGAGGTTTGACAACGTGTCAAACTCCATTTATGTGTTAATTTTGGTTATGACTCCACCATGCTAGCTGTCACTCAGCAACCCACTGCGAGTGCAACACTTTAATTAATGAATTGTCAATTCATCATAACAAACGAGAGGAGAGAGAAAGAGAAAGAAAGAATTAGGGCTTGTTCGTATTTCCAAAATTTTAATTATTTTGATACCGCCGCACGCCTCCTTCCTTCTTTCCTTTTCCCCGGCGTTCCCCGTCGTCGGTGCTGGCTGCGTAATCTCTCTCTCTATCCAAAGAGGGAATGTGGTGCGGAAGCTAGCGAATGCGCCCATCACAAGACCCATGATGAGAATGACCAGCACCTCATATGAGAAGTCCCAAACCAATCCTCTGATGTAAACAATGGCCAAGAACACCGACAGGCAGAGGACATTATTCATGGTCACGAGATCTACAACGGGGAGGAGGCCATCGATGAGGGAGAAATGGCAGATTCAATTTCCGCATTCCCACTGACCAGGTCATCGACGATGACAGGCGCCGGCGTCACGAGATCTACAACGGGGAGGAGGCCATCGATGGGGGAGAAATGGCAGATTCAATTTCCAGGCGGCGGCAAGGAAGAAGTACGGGCGGAGGAGCCTGCCGATAATGGAGGTTGAGAAGATTGTCGTTGGCGTAAGAAAGGAGAGGGGATGGACGGAGAAATGGCAGGCGGAAGAGCTTCCTCAAATCGCCGCCGCCACACGACTCTAGATCTGAGACGACGTGGCTGTGGCCTCGATGATTTCTAACCGGAAGGCGAAATCCAGATCTTGAAGACGGCGGAGGAGATAATCAGGGCATCAATTTTCTCAGGTTACAGATCTTCTCGTCGTTGCAAGGGACCGCCGGCCGGAAGTGTGGAGAAAGAGAGGCAAAGAATCGTCGGGAGTTACAGGAGATGCGACATGTATGGAAAGAGAGATGGGAGATATTTTAATATTTAATATTTTATTTTCATGTTGTTTACGATTTTGCCCCTGTTGTTACTATAACAACACAATATGTGTTGTTATTGTATCCGGAGCCTCTGATTGAGTCGTCAAATCTAGATAGGGTGTTGTATTTCTATGCAATCATAATGCGCCGTTGTTGACACTGGAATTGGGATATCATCGGATTTTCATTCCTATTTCTCTCATTGGTTAAGTAATGCTACTGCATACCAACATGCATGAAAGAAACTAGACATTATGGGATCTTATAGTGAAACAGAAACCTTTGGAATTTGCTTTGATATCTACCAAGTATTTCGCATTAAATTCCAAAATCTTTCTAGATCCCCAAAATGTGCGACCGAAGAACGTTGAAGTTCTAGTATTTGTAGTTTCTATACTCTCGAGAAGAAAGCATCTTGCCTTGTAATTTCTGCATACACATCGTCTCTCGTTTCATGTGAGTTTTCCCTCTTCTTCACTGGAGTTGATTTTGCTGCTGTCTGTGGTTGTTGCTGCTGGGCGAAGTGATCCTGATGCTGTTTCTGGATGTTGCTGCGTGGTTACTGTTATTTTGCTTGATATCTCGTTGGTCATTTCTTTGGCAAGGATGGTCTGATCCATCTAGCCTTTGTTGTTTATTTTTGTTGGAGGTCCTTGTCTTTTGTTTTGTTTTTTTCTTTCCTTCAAGAGCGGCTTGATCCACTTAGTTGGGACTCTGCTTGTTCTTGTGGTTCAAGCTTTTGGAAGTTGGAACCCCTGGTGTGTTTCGTGTTTCTTGCTTTGCTGTATTCGAAAAATTGTTTTTTCTACTTTTAATATATTCACCATTATCAAAAAGAGTCGTTTCGTCTTCGCCGAGCTGGTGCCTGGTGGGGCGGGGATCTTTTGAGCTTTCTCTGCCTTCTTCCTTAGTCTAGATTTGTCTCTTCCCTCCTCTCTTCTTTCCTGTGATCCGTCTTGATATTGCTTGTGCTTCCCCTTGAGCTAGTTTATTCTTTGTTCCCTGTTTACCCATGGAAATAGCGAGTTATAATTTATAGGGTCTCTGTGATCCTAAACTAGTGTCAAATGTTAAAAGATTAACAATAATTCTTCAGCCTCAACTAGTTTTGCTTATGGAAAGGGGTTATTTGATTTTGATGATAGTTAAATTGATATATTGTAAATGTAGGGTATATACAATATATTAGCCAAAACTATTAAACCGCAGTGAATTATAGTCACAACTATCGAAATACAAATTATTAGCCAATTAAGTCTCTATTAACTTCCTGTTAGATGATGGTGAGTTGGCAGATGCTACGCTGATGTGGAAGAGATATTCTGACGTGGTAGTCAACAAAAATGCCACATAAGCCTATCAACCTTTGTAACTTATTTATTAATTATTAGGAAAAAAAATTAAAAAGGTAAAAATCATATCCGAGAATTCTTGTTCACCCCATCTTCTCATCTTCTTCTTCTCCCTTTCCTCCCTACCCAAAGGCGAAATGTGTGCGTTGTCGTGAAAACAGAGTGGTTGGAGTCGCAGCCTTTCGACTATCACCCCTTCTTTGGTAACCAGTAACCAGCTACCCGGTAAACCGGTTAACCGAATTTCTCCCCGGTATTGGTAGTCGACAATCATTTGTCATGGTCGGGTAAACTGTTAATCGGCCAGCCAGTTACCGATTAAACCGATAATCGACCGATTACCAGTTAAACCAGTAACCAACCGATTGCCAGCCCTAAGCTACTTAGGTCTAGATAATGACATGACTAGTGCAATAGGATAATAAAGTGCAGTTCATGAATGTTTATGTGTGTTTGGAGGCCTTGGTGGGTTTCAATGAATGAATTTATGAATTTTTAATGTCACCCACAAAGTGCTCGATGAAATTCCCAAACCACATAAAACTTGTTTATCTTGATTTATTCCTTATCAATTGAACTTGATTGACTAAGATAGACATTTAGGAGTGTGTTTATGACTTGAGGTTGAATCCTTGATGCATGATCCTTGAGTTTGCAACTTCGGCACACGTTTGATTTTGTGCTTCGGTATGCTTTCAGGGCCATTAGTTCAAACCTTGGTTGTTGTCTAAAGATTTGATTCTAGCATTTGGCCGAAGTATAGGAACCTCTAAAAAGACATGATTTCCTTGTTTTCATGCATTTAGAACTCGACCCTAGTCGCTACAACATAAATTCTCACCTATGCACCTTTAGTTTCTACACTATAACACTTAAGTGTGGGGGTGAATAGAGTGAATGGTTTGTTTGGACATGTATTGTGATTTTTCTCTTGTGAATGCGATCCCACCGAGGGTAAAGGGTCTTTTTGGAGGACCCTAATGCTAAGAATTATACACGAAAAAACCAGAATCACCCTAAATGAGAAGAACCAAAAATCCCATAAAAAGAAGTTCTAGGGCTGTTAGCGGTGCGGTTTCGGTTTTAACCGAACCGCAAAGTTGGTTAGCCGACGCCGAGAAGGAGGTGAAATCCCCAACCGTCACTGACACCGACTGCACTATCGGTTAGCCGATAACCGCAGCCGACGATTTCGGTGGGATGGGCGGTTAGCCGAGAAGGCCTGGAAATTGGGGAGTCGGAGGGACGGGCAAGGTGAGGATGTGGACGACGGCGATTTGTGTGATTGGATCGATGCGCGGCGGAGTGGGGATGTGGACAGCGGCGCTCCGGTGGTGGTGTCTGGTGTAGAGGCTCCTTGCCGTGCTCATGCATGTCACTAGAAGTCAAAGAGGTAGAGGAAGAAGACCATGACAAATTTCGATGTGAAGGACTAAGGCGAGCCTGCGATTCCGATTAGAGACGGCAAGGTAGACGGGGCGGCACCGACGACTACGAGATTGATTTATTGGCGTCGTCTACAAGGGGTTCGCAAGCAATTTTGCAGTCTCGCAAGTGCCTCCGTCGGAGCAAAGATAAGCGGTGGCGAGGTCAGAATCTGGGAGAATTGAGATGGAAAGGATTTAGGGTTTGTGTAAGATTTTGGTGGAGAAGGGGAGGCGAGGACGATTTAGAGGAAGGAAAGATGTTGGCTTTGAGTTAGAGGAAGATTTGAGGCCTGGATCGGAAGGAAGGAGCTGGGCGGAGAGGTAGAGGAAGGTGGGGATCGGGAGGATGAAGGAGTTTGGGGCACCGAGAGGTCAAAGGGATGGTTGGTTGGTTAGATCGGTTAGCAACCGATAACCGCCGGTTAGTGAATAACTCCAAATGGGCCAACCGACACCGACACCGAGATCTTATTTTTCGATTTTCGGTTAACCAATAAACCGATCTTTCGGTTCGATTTTTTGGTTGGCCGACTAACCGGTCACCGATTATCACCCCTAAAAAGAACCATAACCTCAATTCGAGGAGCAACTACAAGAAGAACAACATGAACAACTAGAAGTTCTGTCTAGAAGGTCGAAAGACCGCGTCCAAAAGGCAAGTTCTTGGCTTTGGGAGAGCCATTTCTCTACCCCTATTTTCTTTTACCTTCCCATTTGAATAATATACTTGGTAGAATGTTAGTATTGTGCGCTTGTCTTTTCTTTTTATTTTAGTAGTTAGTTTAATTTTCTACTTATATTAATTAGTACTAGTGTGGTTTAATCTATCTTTTTAAGATGTGATTGATCCTCTTCTTAGTTCTTTTTCTCGTGTATGTTTATCAACAATAGATCCCACCCACCATTAATGCTTATGTAATGTTCATTATCGATTGATCTCTCTTATTTAGAGGTGTCAATCGGGTGGGTTCAGGCAGGTTTTGGTCGGGTTCAACTGGGTTAGGGGTTAGTCGGGTTTGGGTTAATCGGGTTGTGAGTTAGTCGGGTTGTGAATTAATTGGGTTGTGGGCCGGTCGGGTTGTGAGTTAGTCGAGTTATGCTTCGAGCGGATCGGGTTGCAGGTTGTTCGGGTTAGCGCATTGTGTTACTTACTTTTAGTTGTTACACATTATTTATTACATAAATTTCAAATACTTTTTAGTAATTTTTAGACAAATTTTCTCGCCTGGTATATTACTTAATAAAAATGAAACAAATTTGTCAAACTGTTAAATTAGTTTTGTATTCTTTTAGATGATTGAGTTATGGCATCATATGACGGGAACGGATCAGGTCAGTAACCTTATGGTGAGTAACTATGAGTAACCCGCCCACATCAGCATGAAATCAGCATCCTCTCTCTCCTGGAAAGTCTTTAATTTTCCCCTCCTTAATCTTTGACGGACTATTTTTCATTCGTTTTAAGTCAAAATTTAATTTTTTTGCACAGTTAGATCAGATTAATTGTGCTCTTCAAATTGATATCCACTTTGATATATTTTCGAACAAAAACAAATTGAGCCATTTTTATTGACTGGTATTGAAATAAGAGCATACCTATGGTTTGAAAAGCGTACCATGGTGGTATGACACAAACTAGAACTGTAGGATGGTTGAATACATGATAGTAGAAGTATATTAATTGTCATTTACGACTTTTAACATTGTATACCATAAGATACCACCCCGTACCAGGGTGGTATTGTATGGTATTGTGTGGTATTTTTTGGTCTTGTAATTTGTTCACCCAGAAATTTGTAGATCCAATAGATCATGATGAACTCGTCCTTGTTGTGCAAACGTTTTCAAAAACGAATTAAAAACGAAGAAGATACCATATGGTATGCAGTTGGTACAGAGAGGCCAGAATTTTTTTTCCTCAAAAATATTGAAAGTTGATCTCATTTTGTAAAGCACGATGAACTCGTTCCATCTGTGCAAAAAAAAAAAAAAAAATTTAAAATCCGAGTTAAAACGAAAAAGATATGAGTCAATTAAAAAAGCTAGTGAAAATAAAAATAACCTTTAATTCTCCATCCTTAGATCTGGATTTTCTAAATGAATGATCCAGATTTGGTTATTGATGGGTGCATAACCCATGATTATGCAGGCTAACTTGAGCCTCATATGACTTGCAAACTTGCCATATAATTAATTACTAGACAAAATTCTTTAGAAGAGCAAGAAAAGGAATCCTAATCCTAGCTAATTAAAGTAAATAAAGTACTCATCCGAAAAACTTTACGCAGCAGCAGACAGATATCCCTTAATTTTCTTCTTGCGAAACGATTGTAAGTCCATCCAGCCAGGCTTAGGGTTTTCCCCTTCTTCCTTTACTATTAGCTCTAGCTAGCTAGCCGCTTGCCATCTCGAGATAATATCTGTTGCTTTTTTGCAGGACAAGATGCAAATGAGAATGCAGGTTCAGGTCCTCAAGCGAAAACGCTCTTTCTTATCTTGGTACGTAGAAAGTTATTTTTACCGTTCGTGTATGATTCGCCAAGATATTGAACAACTGTGTATGTACGCTTTTGTGTTTGATAGGCTGATTTCGTTCTTCTCTGCTATATTCATATGCGGCAAGACACAAATCAAGGAAGGTCGTCGCAGTGATAATAAGGTAATATAATGTTAATTATTTCCCTTATATGTCCCTTTTTATCTCCCATCATTGTATTGGTAGTTTACTTGGAGGATTGAAATATCGAACCAGAGCGCAGCTACTGATTTCGCTTTTGGTAGAAGGTTTTCTGGTCGAACCGCCGATACGATACGGATTTTCAACCCTTGATTTACTTGTCACCCTAATTAATCCCTGTTTGTACTCTAGTTAATTATCACTCCCTCTGCAGATTAGGAAGAAGGAGCAAAAGAAGATGGCGATGGTGATGGTTGTCGACGAAACCACCAGCGACGACTGCTGCTCCTGTGTCAGCTGCATACCCAAATGCACTCCAAGCAAGAGGAAGGCCAATAACAAGAAAGTAACTCTCAGTGAGTGATCTAATGGAATCGAGCCAAATTAAGATCAGGTCTTAGTTACTGCATGCAGGTTGCTTTGTACTAATTACTTAATTTGTTAAGAAACGAATTTACTAAACATGATCAATGGCTTTTCGATACATGCAATATCATCATATTCGTCGGGCTAACTCATGTACGATTAATCATTCTATGTTTATTTGGCATCTATAACTAATTAACGCCGTCACCAATAGATGCTCTTAACGATGGAAAGAGCTGGTGGATGGTGTGCTCTGACTTCTACCAACACCAAGGTAACTATTGTTACTACGGTTAATATATCTTCAAACACTATACGAACGAGAGTGTTTTGTACAGACTTAGCTTATTAGATGATCTAAGATTTCAAGTGACTAAATTTGATCTGATAGCCTGTAATTTTACCCAAGCCAAACAGAATTATACTAACAATCAATGCAGTCAAAATCGCGCTTTAAAACTTAAAAACTTACGGTTTTACGCTTCTAGGACACTAAAACGCTTTCGTTTCCATATAAAATCTTAAGTGTATAAAATCGGGACTAAAATGCGCTTTAAAGCTTACGCTTTTACGCTTCTAGTTCACTAAAAGAGTATTCTATTCATGAAAATACTTATATTTTAAAGGTAAATCACAAAAAATATGATATATTTGAGATTAAAAGATGCATATCAAGTACTTGGGTGCATTCTTAGTTTCAATAGAGTAATCTAATTCACCAGCTATGCCCTTCCCAAATTCACTAGCATAGAGGGGAATGTAGCTTATTGTTAAGATATATGTTTATGAACTTATTGTTAAAATGTTATGAGTTTCTCAACTTTAGACATGAATTACAAGTATTTATTAACTTATCTAAACTATGTCCACTCATATTTTATCGTACTTAACACATTTTTCGTTATATTAAAGTATGCGTAAAAAACTTACGTTTTTACGCTTTACGATTTTACCCATTTTCCGCTTCTAGGTAGAATCACGCTTTTGACTGCATTGCTAACAATGCATGATAAAACCCTCCCTGGCCCGAAGAATTAGAAAATTTAAATACCGTATTCAAATAATAATATAATATTACCTTGCCACTCGAAAGTAAAACCAAAACCCAACAAACTAATCAACCAAACAAACACCACATTAGAACTAATAAAAAGCAAAACACTGTGTTGCCCTCATTTACTTATTAACTAGCCTATGACCCGGCCCCTTGGCTGGAGGTAGGCCAAAAAAATTGATAGCGAAACTCTTACCGACATCAACTCATTAGCATGTGGGCCTCGTTCTTCAGAAGTAGGCCAAGAACACAATAGTAATTTGAAGAGGAATCGTTGAACCATTGCAATAGTAGAGCAAAATTAAATTATCAGCACTGAAATGGTCATTCCAAATAACTTACTTAACAAAACAAAACAAAAGTCGCTCTTTGATTCAAACATTAAGCTAAAATGTAAACACATTAAATTGAAGAAAAGAGCTAGTTTATCTCCAATTGTTCAAACATTCTCAATTATTTTCATAAAGGCTAATCACAATCCGAAGGCTAAAAATCAAGGGGTATTTTAGTAGCAGTGGTATTTTGATTAGAAGGCAAAATGCTGACCACCGTACTACTAACGACATAATTATCATGCACACACCAGTCAAGTATTTGTGTCAGAACTCATAACCCACCGCAAACATTTAAGTATAGAGATACAAAACAGGCGCTGTAGCTATATATGCTCAACAATTGAAAACTAAGAAACACCTGAGCTAAAAGATCTTCCCACATTATAAGAGAATGCATTGGTTTCAATTCACCGAGAGGGTTCAAACTTATATGTTGCCTTGTCATACAATTTAGAAAGGCTTCATTAATTACCCCGATATGTTGCCTTGTCTTTGTTTTGTTGTTTTTGTTTTTTTTTTTCTTTCCTTCAAGAGCGGCTTGATCCACTTAGTTGGGACTCTGCTTGTTCTTGTGGTTCAATCTTTTGGAACCCCTGGTGTGTTTCGTGTTTCTTGATTTGCTGTATTCGAACAATTGTTTTTTTCCACTTTTAATATATTCACCATTATCAAAAAGAGTCGTTTCGTCTTCACCCAGCTGATGCCTGGTGGGGCGGGCATCTTTTGAGCTTTCGCTGCCTTCTTCCTTAGTCTAGATTTGTCTCTTCCCTCCTCTCTTCTTTCCTGTGATCCGTCTTGATATTGCTTGTGCTTCCCTTTGAGCTAGTTTATTCTTTGTTCCCTGTTTACCCATGGAAATAGCGAGTTATAATGTATAGGGTCTTTGTGATCCTAAACTAGTGTCAAATGTTAAAAGATTAACAATAATTCTTCAGCCTCAACTAGTTTTGCTTATGGAAACTATGGGGTTATTTGATTTTGATGATAGTTAAATAGATACATTGTAAATGTAGGGTTCATACCATAGATTAGCCAGAACTATTAAACCGCAGTGAATTATAGTCACAACTATCGAAATACAAATTATTAGTCAACCGTTAAGTCTCCGTTAACTTCCGTTAGATGATGGTGAGTTGGCAGATGCTACGCTGATGTGGAAGAGATATTCTGACGTGCTAGTCAACAAAAATGCCACATAAGCTGATCAACCTTTGTAACTTATTTATTAATTATTAGAAAAAAAAATTAAAAAAGTAAAAATCATATCCGTGAATTCTTGTTCACCCCATCTTCTCATCTTCTTCTTCTCCCTTTCCTCTCTACCCAAAGGCGAAACGCGTGCGTCGTCGTGAAAACAAAGTGGTTGGAGTCGCGGCCTTTCGACTATCACCCCATCTTTGGTAACCAGTAACCGGCTACCCGGTAAACCGAATTTCTCCCCGGTATTGGTAGTCGATAATCATTTGTCATGGTTAGGTAAACCGTTAACCAGCCAGCCGGTTACCGCTAATCGACCGATTACTAGTTAAACCAGTAACCAACCGATTGCAGCCCTAAGCTACTTAGGTCTAGAGAATGACATGACTAGTGCAATAGGATCATAAAGTGTAGTTTATGAATGTTTATGTGTGTTTGGAGGCCTTGGTGGGTTTGAATGAATTAATTTATGAATTTTTAATGTCACCCACAAAGTGCTCGATGAAATTCCCAAACCACATAAAACTTGTTTATCTTGATTTATTCTTTATCAATTGAACTTGATTGACTAAGATAGACATTTAGGAGTGTGTTTATGACTTGAGGTTGAATCCTTGATGCATGATCCTTGAGTTTGCAACTTCGACACACTTTTGATTTTGTGCTTCGGTATGCTTTCAGGGCCATTAGTTCAAACCTTGGTTGCTGTCGAAAGATTTGATTCTAGGCTTTGGCCGAAGTATAGTAACCTCTAAAAAGACATGATTTCCTTGTTTTCATGCATTTAGAACTCGAACCTAGTCGCTACAACATAAATTCCCACCTATGCACCTTTAGTTTCTACACTATAACACTTAGGTGTGGGGGGTGAATAGAGTGAATGGTTTGTTTGGGCATGTATTGTAATTTTTCTCTTGTGAATGCGATCCGACCGAGGGTAAAGGGTTTTTTTGGAGGACCCTAATCCTTAGAATTATACACGAAGAAATCAGAACCACCCTAAATGAGAAGAATCAAAAATCCCATAAAAAGAACCATAACCTCAAGTCGAGGAGCAACCACAAGAAGAACAACACCAACAACTAGAAGTTCCATCTAGAAGGTCGAAAGACCGCGTCCAAAAGGCAAGTTCTTTGCTTTGGGAGATCCATTTCTCTACCCCTATTTTCTTTTACCTTCCCATTTGAATAATATACATAGTAGAATGTTAGTATTGTGTGCTTGTCTTTTCTTTTTATTTTAGTAGTTAGTTTAATTTTCTACTTATATTAATTAGTACTTGTGTGGTTTAATTTATCTTTTTTTAGATGTGATTGGTCCTCTTCTTAGTTCTTTTTCTCCAGTATGTTTATCAACAATAGATCCCACCCACCATTAATACTTATGTAATGTTCATTATCGGTTGATCTCTCTTATGTAGAGGTGTCAATCGGGTGGGTTCAGGCAGGTTTTGGTCGGGTTCAATTGGGTTAGGGGTTAGTCGGGTTTGGGTTAATCGAGTTGCGGGTTATTCAGGTTGTGAATTAATTGGGTTGTGGGCCGGTCGGGTTGTGAGTAAGTCGGGTTACGGTTCGGGCGGATCGGGTTGCAGGTAGTTCGAGTTAGCGCATTATGTTACTTACTCTTACTTGTTACAACTTACACATTATTTATTGCATAAATTTCAAATACTTTTTCATAATTTTTAGACACATTTTCTTGCCAGGCATATTACTTAATAAAAATTAAACAAATTTGTCAAACTGTTAAATTAGTTTTGTATTCTTTTAGATGATTGAGTTATGGCATCATATGACTTGCAAACTTGCCATATAATCAATTACTAGGTGGCGATGCTGCGCCTTGTCGCGGGGCAGAGATGGCCTATCGGCATGTATTATGTGACCCGTTATGGTGTTTTGTTAGTATTATTAGCCTAAATTTTTTTTTTTTTTGTTATCAATTTTGTTAATATTATTGACTTGACAATATAATATTGAATGAGAAAAGATATATGACAGTCAACATCCAATTTCAAATATTTTAGAATTTTGGGCTAATAAACTATATTTATCTAAACCCTAGTAGACCCATTGATTAAGGGTAGAGTAGGGGTGGCAGTTCGGTTACCGGTTAACAGGCCGGTTAAATCGATAACTGGCCGGTTATCCACTAACCGGTAACTGAAGTAACCGAACTTCGGTCAGTTATAGGAAGCTGGACGAAAAGATTTTTGGTCTTAAAAGTGGTTTGGTTAACCGAGAAACCGATTTCGATTGGTTTTCGGTAAGGGGGGTGGTTATTTCGGTTAACCGATAACCTGCCGATCGGTTACCGGTTAAAACTAAAATGCCACCCCTAGGGTAGAGTATGGGTGACGTATATATGAGTTTGGAAGTTGTAGATGGGTTTGGGTAGGGTATGGATATTTACTTCCATAATCTAAATGTGTATGAGTTGGGTGTGGATACCCATTTATTCGAAGGTGTTTTAATTACACATACAAAAATTAGAACTAT